AAAAAAAAAAACCCATGCATCTGAATGTTTCTGAGAAACACTCCCTGGGGAAAAGCTGTTAGCACTGTGTTCCTGATAAAGGCATGCCTTTCAAACCAAATCAAATAATGACAATTTGTAGACAGTGAGTTCTGCTCTGCTCCCGTCAGTACTGGGAATGTAACTTTTTATTTTCAAAGCTACTGTTGAGCTAGGGAAGAAGGAGTGGAATACAACATGTTAAAATGTCACAAAGCTCACTGTTCTTACTAAGATTCACCCACTTTTTTTGAATATGTGCTTCCCAGGTTGTTGCCAGACTTTGTTTAATTTCCAGAGTTCTGAAACAGTTGAGATTGACAGTCTTTGTCAGTTTTTTATTGTTTTAATGGAGGAGTGGAATTTTTGAGTTCCTTTCATTGCTATTTTCACTAACATCACTCCAGCAAATGTTTTAATAATACACTTAGTCATGGTTTAGAATCCCTTGCCCTTGACTTCCCTAACTCCCAACATCAAATTCTACATCTGTTCTGGGACCCTGCTAGAGAAAGTTGCAAACAAGTAAAGGTCAGAGTCTACTATTTATTTATGCTCTCCTCCTCAGTTATGTTCTCCACATTGCAGTGTTTCCATTCCTTCCGTATTGACTACAAGTAGTCGTTCCAAATTTCTTCCACTCTCCTCAAATCTTCCACACAATTCCGTCTATCTCACTTTGTCCTCAAGAATTCCAAAATTCAAAATCTATTTGTATCTTATTTGTATTTATCTTAGTAGTGGAGGTGTGAAGTCAAACTGCCTCAATTTAATTCCTGCATTTGTGTTTACTAGCTGTGTGACACTGAACAAATTAAACCTCACTTTGTCTCAGTTTTCTCATCCTCAAAGGATCGGTGTGAGGATTAAATAAAATAATCCATGTACAGCGCTCAGAACAGTTTCTTCAATAAATGTTAGCTATCAGCACTATCATTATCAGCATCATGATCATCATGATCATCATGATCATCATCATCACCCTACTACTCCTATCTTTAAAACATGTGTCTGTCCTCAATAACAATGTTAACCTGTGCTCTCTTGGCCCCATCTCTTCTATTATTTGTACTGAAATTATTTCCTACCTCAAATATTTAGTACTGGCTTCTTTCCCTTGGCCTGAAACTCATTCAAGTATGCAGATCTTTAAAAATTCAAGAACAAAATGACTCTCTCCCACAAACTGCTAGTCCATCTTTTCCTTTCCTGCCAAATTTCTCTAAAGTTCTCTTTTGTTACTCATTGATCTCTTCCAATCTAGATTGTACCCACCCCCAACATTGCTGTAAGGCAATGGCCTAATCCTGTTCAAATAACATTTCCAGTTCTTATTCTCCAGATCTCACTATAACATCTGATAGGCTTTATCTGGTTTCTCTTAACAATAACTTCTGGGTCTTTGACCATTTCTTCCTATGTTTTTATTCTGGCTCCTTGATTGGCACAGGGGTCAGTCTTCAGTGCTTGTCTGCACTCTAGGGAGTGTGGAACATCTTCTTATCCCTAGCAGTTTTCACTAGTTTCGTTATACCTCTGTTCCAGCCCTGTTAGTGGGAGGCAAATTTAGTGCCTCAGTCCTAAGTAAAACCTGTAAAAGTTATGCCAAGCAAGCCAGCTTTGGTGTGCTGAAATGTTTAGAATCCATAGCATCTTTTAACATTACTCTTGGATTCCTATAATAGAATCTCAGTATCTACCCACTTTCATGCATCCTGTAGATGATTGACAGATTTTCCTGAAACATAAAAATAGCTAACAAGGTCATAGTTAGGAGGGGCAGGAAAAGTAGTAGGGGACAGAAAGAGGAAGATATAGAAGAGGAAGCAGCAGCAGCAAAAGCTTCCTTACACATCAAAATTATATAAAATGCAATTAAAATACCTTTTTATAATTTAATGCAGTTTAAGTAATGTAGTTGCTAACATTTTATATTTAATTGTTAGCGTAGGTTTTCAGAAAAGGTTTATTGCTAGGCTTCCTTTAATAAAGACCTATTTGGGCCAGGCACAGTGGCTCAGCCTGTAATCTCAGCACTTTGGGAGGCGAGGTGGGCGGATCTCTTGAGCTCAGGAGTTTGAGAACAGACTGCCAACATGGTGAAACCCCGTCTCTACTTAAAAATTACAAAAATTAGCCAGGCGTGGTGGCCTGCACCTGTTGTCCCAGCTACCCAAGAGGCTGAGACAAGAGAGTTGCTTGAACCCAGGAGATGGAAGGTTGCAGTGAACCCAGATCGTGCCACTGCACTCCAGCCTGAGCGACAGAGTTAGACTCTGTTTAAAAAATAAGTAAATAAAGAGCTATTTATATGTAGCACCACCTTTTACATTAAAACAATACACATGCAAAAGCCTTCACAAAGTTAATTTCTTAATGCTTTGTGGGACCATATCATTTTGTTTGCATTACTTCCTAGAAAACCAGTGGAGGGTAAATTTTAACTTAGTTCAAGTCAAACTATTTCAAAACAATGAAATTTTCCAAGTATTTTAAATGTAACTGAGGATTATGCTAGCAAGCTTTTCTGGGGCCTGGTTGCTCAATCATTCCTTGATTTTAAAAAATAAAAGTATACTTAGAACAAGCAGGAAGTGGGAGAATACTAGCACGATTAATGAGTGAAAGTGACAATGATGCCTTGCCATACCAGGATTCAAAGATAATAGCTTCAAAGCTGTGAAATAGTAAATGTACAGTAGTCATGATGAAAACAGTCTGAGCCACAATTGAGTCTTAGGTCTGCCTTACTCTAGAACCTATGCTCTCTAATTACTAGCTTATATACTGCCTCTCTTGTATCTGTGTCATGTCAATTCTCTGATAAAAATCTGTATTTATAGGATGAAGACAAAACTTCTCTGCTCTCTTTCATGCTCCTCCTTAATTTTTCCTCCATCTACCTAGCCAGTGTTATTCTCTGATAATCCCTAAAGCAGTCATGCAATGCAGTCAGATCAGTTTTCATACTATGCATCAAATCTGCCATGTTCATTTTTTTCATTCTTTTCTTTCTTCCTTCCTTCCTTCCTTCCTTCCTTCCTTCCTTCCTTCCTTCCTTCCTTCCTTCCTTCCTTCCTTTCTCTCTCTCTCTCTCTCTCTTTCTTTCTTTCTTTCTTTCTTTCTCTTTCTTTCTTTCTTTCTTTCTTTCTTTCTTTCTTTCTTTCTTTCTTTCTTTCTTTCACAAGGTC